TTTTCTGAGTATAAATAAGAAAATTCCTCGCACACACAAGGAATTGCACTGATGCTATCCAAAAAGCATGAAAAACATTTATAAAAATGGAATTCTATGGATCCAGAATAATCAAAGCATCCTTCAAAACGAAGAAGGAGGGAATCTCAATAAATGTTATCTAGTGTTATGTACCCATTGGTGAAAGTGAACAAGACGCTAAAGATCAGTTTCATTAGAGGCAAAAATTAATCATTCAGAAATGCCCAGGAAAAGACCTGACCATTCTGATGGTGTAGTGGGCACTACTCCGAAGATTGTTTGTAAGCAGTATGGATTCGAAGTTGTAACAATTGTCAGGTGGAGTGAAGGGCTTTAGTACATCGAAAGTACGGCGTTAGCATAACACTTGGATATCATACGAGAAGACTGTTCAGACTGCAGCGCACGCCGAAAGATGCAAATAGACATTTAACGACTGTGTATGATTTTTATGTAAATAATTAGTAATTTTTCACAATATATACACATTCCTCCTTCTGATTGTCGAATTTTACAATGAGAGATTTAAACGTTGAGGTCGGAATGGACAACACCACGGATGAAGATATCATGGGACGACATGAACTAGGAGAAAGGGATGGAAACGATAACAGATTTCCGAGATTATGCGCCTTTAAAAAATGGCAAGAGCTGGCACAATATTCTCACACGAACTCATACACAAAGCTACATGGGTTTCACCGAATCACATCATGGAGAACCAAATGGATCATATTTACATCACTAAAAAATTCAGAAGATCCATCGAAGACGTGAGAACCGAGAGAGGTGCTGACGTAGCTTTAGATCACTACCTGATGGTGGTCAAGATGAAACTGAATCTAAAGAAAAGCTTGGCAGCCAGGGAAACAGCATTATAAAGATTTAGAACACCCTTACTTCGTGACAGTGACAAACTCGGCGAATTCCGGATAGCTCTTAGCAACAAATTCAATCCTTACAAGGTCTACTCAAAGAAGAGGAAAGTACTTGGTGAACAACTAGAAGGGGATCAAAGAAGTACTCATTTCAACGTGCAAACAGGTTGTGAACCGCAGAATGCCCTATTGTAGTGAATGGATGTCTATCGAAACCCTGGGCAGAGTGATGTTGAACAGAATGAAATATTCAACGTACACTCAACTTCTGGATCAACAGGTTGGATTCCGTCGTGCACAAACCGCCACACAACACTACGGATCATTGTTGAATAATCAATACAATGGAACCGGTGTTAGATTAGGCTGCTTATTCTCACCATTCCTTTTTCTTCTGGTGATCGATTGAGTAATGAAGACCTTCACATATGAGGGGGAGCTTGGAATAAAATGGACGACTTGGATGTATATAGATGAGTTGAACTTTGGACGGTATAGGAGCAGCCTACGCAGCAGAAAGCTTCAATATACACATGAGAGAAAGCAAGATCCCGAAATGCAATACAGAGAGCTTCAAACCAACAACATTCGATGGATAAGCTCCGAAGGTGGTGTAAAGTTTTACGTACCTGAGCATTATCATCGATAAATGAGAAGGATCGAATGTAGGTGTAAAGGCGAGGATTGGCCAGGCAATTGAGGCACTCCTACGGTTGAAGAATATATGGAACTCAAAACAACGGTCAGCCAACATCAAAGAATCTTCAATACGAACATCAAGACAGTCCTACTTCACGGAGCTGAAAGTTGTAAAATTACTACAACCGTCATCAAAAATGTGCAGAAATTTATAAGCAAGTGTTTACTCAAGGTACTCAGTGTCCGTTGGCTGGATACCATCAACAACAACCTAATATGGCAGTGGACAAACCAGCTTAGCTTAAGGGGGAATTCGAAAAAGATTATGGCAGTTGGTAGGACATACACTGTGGAATTTATCAGACTTCATCAAGTGGCAAGCTCTGACGTGGAATCCTGAAAGGAACAGGGAGAGAGAAAGACTAGGGAACACATTGCGTCAGGAATTGGAAGCAGAAATGAAAAGAATCCATAGTACTTGGAAACAACTACAAAGCAGAACCCAGGACAGAGCTTGTTGGAGAATCCTGGTTGGTGGCCTATGAGTAAGTAAAGTGTAAGTATGTAATAATGAAAGAGCAACTGTTTACTGGAGATGCTTTTATCACAAACTAAACGTGATTATATATTAAATGTGCTAATAATCCTATCGGTTATAAGCAACTGCAGTACTAAACATCGATGCGGAGATAAAAAATACAGTACAACACCGGATTATTCCTATCGGTTATTTATATTATTACATTTACCTAACCAGTACAATATATAAATGGACATAATTTTATATTCATGATCATTTATTTCAGGCTCAGAATATAGACTACTTTGACTCCTAAATAAAATGTTTGTAATTTCAAAAGTTGAGATAATGAGTCCATTGAAGCTGACCACCATGGAAAACCAAGAAGTAATGGACGGTCGTTTCGTCCTATTGTGGGACACCTCATCAATGCGCATCCACAATCCCGACTCGCGACATTCGAATCCAGGACCTATCAGTCTCGCGTGCGAACACTTAACCTCTAGACTACTAAGCCGACAGCCAATGGTGTCATTATCTAACTTCAACTAATCCACCAAATTGAGCGACACATCCACCATTGTTTTTAGTGACTTACAATCTAACAACAGACCTGGTTGAACTACACTGGTTACTGCTTTTCACTAGAACTCCAGGAAATACCTCTTGACGCCAGTCGCTGAGGAATCCCACAATAGGACGAAAAAGCCGTCCAGTTTTTCCAGGTTTTTCATGGCATTATAGCTTAAAATAACTCATGAATTCAAGTATAATAAAAACGTACATATTTCTTGAGTTAAACCAAAGTGGATTTGTCTGTTGATTAGCTTAATATCTTCTTGTAGACAGTTTGTTCCACAGTAGTGTAACATCACTGATGACCAAAGCATAAAAAAAGTTTTCTTATAGTTGTTTCACTAGTTCAATGTAACCGCATTATGTATTTTTAGTTGTTGCTGTCATTTAAAGCAAGTCCTTATGAGTTAAAGTTACCTGAAATTTCACATATGACAAATAATATACTTGTGGTAAATCAGTAGTATTTTAGACCGTAAATTTCTGGTTTGTTAATACCATCCAAACTAACAGCTCAAATAAATCAAACTATTACCCAATAATAAGTAACAAAACAAAACTGTTCATGAATTTAGCACCACCTTTATTGACAAACTAAGATTTTACAGTGTTATTCATATATACAAATATCTTATACCGATTGTTAAACAATCTGGTATTTGGATAGCTTAAATTATAATTTATAGCATTGAAAAAGTGTTTTTCTTGTTTTTACATTTGGTCACCTTTGTGGTAATAAGAAATGTTAAGGGATAACTGCCTGAAAATAATCATAGAGGGGTTTTGTGAAGAATGTAGTAATTTAATAACTGAATTCATGAGTCAGTCATCATGTGCTCTCTAGTGACTGGCGTCAAGAGGTATTTCCTGGAGTTCTAGTGAAAAGCAGTAACCAGTGTAGTTCAACCAGGTCTGTTGTTAGATTGTAAGTCACTAAAAACAATGGTGGATGTGTCGCTCAATTTGGTGGATTAGTTGAAGTTAGATAATGACACCATTGGCTGTCGGCTTAGTAGTCTAGAGGTTAAGTGTTCGCACGCGAGACTGATAGGTCCTGGATTCGAATGTCGCGAGTCGGGATTGTGGATGCGCATTGATGAGGTGTCCCACAATAGGACGAAACGACCGTCCATTACTTCTTGGTTTTCCATGGTTGTCTAGCTTCAATTGACTCATGAATTCAATTATTAAATTTCTTGAAAACATTAAGTTATCATACTGTAATTTTATTTAACATTCTACATTTGATAATTCATAAAATATATTAAACACTATAGGTTAGTATTAGAATATTTGAGTATTGAGCAATCTATATAGCTCAAACGCAAAGGATATCATGTAAGCTGCTATATGAGTTTGACAGCTAAACATGAATGTAAGTTTGAGAAAACTTCTGTCTAAATTGAAAACCGATTATATATCAACCAATATCATAGCTAGAGGGATTACTTATTACCATTTTAAACACTAGGTTAAATGAGAACATTTCATGACAACTGTCAAAAATATTAGCATATTCAATTCTATGTGACCGTTTTATTTGTAGTTTACATCATGAACTGATTAGTCGGACAACCAACGAAAACTCTGTAATACTGGGGAGAAAGTTTGTCCTAGCAAAAGAGATATATATTACTGATGTAAATGGACAGTAGCTTCACAATATCGCATACTGACTAAATCTGTGAATATGAAATCCTGATATAAAGATGAGATGCTAGCCACAAAACCTTTAGGTCCTAAGTTTGATCGCTTAATGTTTTGTGAGTTGGAAGTTCTGAAGAGTCCCATGGTAGGACGAAAAATATGTCCACTACATAAATGACAGTGTTGCCTAGAACGATAATGAAAGCTCAACAGTTAAGCCATCTGGCTCAAAGACATCAACAACAACTAACACTTTGACTAATTGGCACCCTAACGATTATTACTAGGGTAAAGGATACATATAAAGTACTCATGTCATAGATCAAGAGTTTTACGATAACTGATAATCATCCGCAAGACGCGTTTACAACTTTTGATGAGATCTTTATACAATAATTAAGTTCAGGCTACTTATCGGTCAGCTATCTGTCGGAAAATGTTTTAAATATACTAACATGTACTATTACATAAAGAGACTTGTTTATGTGATAGTAAAATTAGTTAATTCATTTTTTTTAAATAACAGACTTCTGGGATAAATACAAGCAGGTGTAAAGTATCGGTGCATGACGAGTTTATTCAACACTACATTACCCTAATATATAAACTTAATTGTGGATTTATTTGAGAGATTGTAGTTCACTTAGAGAAATAATCAGCGTACGTTATGTTTTCAAGAATGTTCTTGCTGTAAAATTTAATACTACAAAATTTCTTACCTTTACACGGTGAAAGGACATCGAGAGGTGAACGAAATACACGTATATTACATTCGTTTGGATGTCTCATAGCTGAATATGATCTAATGCAAGTGTGTTTGTCCGGACTGATATATTTCTCGCATTTACTCCGTCTGCTTTTGTTACTACTACCGCCATAATTGTTACCATTAAAAGTGGTTTTATTATATTGATCTTCTGAACAATTATTCTGTTGATAAAAGGTATTATTACTACAAATTGACATAGGTGATGAGGAAACACGAATAGCTAATTGATTGAATGAACCATTCATAGGATATAATATATCTGTATCACGTTTAGAATGAGATCCATTTGAACTAAGGGAATCTAATTGGCGTAAGTGAAAAAATGAATGTGAACGAATTGGAAAATTACCATTATCTAAATTAATATAACTACTATTATAAAGAATAGTATTATGTTGTAAATCATCTAATTTTTGATTTTCTAAAGAAGAAGAAAGACATTCACTAGATGTTAACAAATTAACTTTATAATCATTTGTAATCGATTGATTTGAAAATGATCGACCAGTCATTTGTACTGGTTCAGTTACCACAATACTATTTTCATTTGAATTAATATCAAAATCATTTAGAAATTTACGATTTAAACAATTTTCATGATCATCATGATCAACATTATCATTCGTCAAATTTACTGTTGATAATGTAGGTAATAATAACTGTAATTGTTCATAATTCATTTGTTCATTCTCTTTAGTCTTTTCATTTTTTAATTCTGAATATGTAGTAGCTATCGCACTAGATATAAGTGAAGATGGAGCACTAAATGAATTATATCCAAATTTATTCTTAATATTAGATTTTATATTTTGTGAATAACAAATAGGACGTTGGTTATAATGATGATTTGCTGCACGACGTTTAAAATGACGTTTTATATTAGAATTTATTACTGAATTATCAGAAGACTGTTGAAGTAACCATAAGTTTTTTGTATTATTTACTGAATTATTTGGAAGTATAGGTATTAATGATAATTTTGTAATATTATTGATTTTATTATAATTTCTATGGAAATTATTATCTAAATTTACTGATTCTAGGTCAGATACACGTGAAGAGATTTGATGTTCTTGATCTTCTACAGAAATCTGTGATGATTGAGTTATTTGAAGGGTAGAATTTGACAATGATGTTATAGTTTGTAATTGTCGTTGATCCGTTAAAACTAATATAGGTTGTTGTTTAAATTCATATATATCAGGTATATATGTTGTTTCATTTAAATTAAAATATTGTTGACAGGTAGTTTTATTATCCATTTCCGAATTCATTGTAAGTGTATTATTCATCATATGAATAATGCTTTTTATAATAGGTAATATAAACTATTTGTTTTGTGTTGATGAACCGTTACATTGTTTGAACCATATTTTATTCAAGTTGAATATGTAAACATTTTCTTATTTACTTCAATTATCTAACTTTTATCATTGTCATCATTAACAAGATGGTGAAAATTTTTAAAAACATCTGAAAATAAAACAAGACAGATTTTCTTAAAAAGTAACACTTTCAGTTAAATTATTGTAATATCCATATCAACAATTTCATTAGAAATGTATTATTGAATAATTTTCTTCGGTAAGTTTCGCAATGAGATCCATTTATGTAATTATTTTATGGAGAATAGCCCCCAAATGACCTGGTACGGCCGAGAGTGGGGAGAGTCAGCTCTCCCTCCCCAAATGCTCTCGCATGGCCACGTGCGTATAACCGCTGCAACGAAAGTTCTACTCATTGCATTCTCACACCACAGGTGTTGTTTACGGAATCGAGAAGACAAAAAGCGAATGTCCGGCGCTCTAACCTAGTTGGTGGACATATAGACTCCACCTAGGGGGTTGGAAAACCCTCATTCAAACCAATGATGCACATGGGCTCCAGTAAGCTGAATGAATAAATGGCTTATGAACCAATTATTGGTGACTGGCTATCATAGGACTGCATCTCATCGCGTTGCCTCACTGCCAGGTGGATCAGACCTTTAGATCAAAGGCTCGGGGCGTGGCCCCATAAGGAAGCCACCTGTTTTTGTTTGAGCACCTCGTTAGTATCTCAGCCCTTACACAAATCGAATGTTTACGTGGCGCATATCTATTCGGTTCCCCTTTGTTGCCTCCTTGTACCAATGTTTATGTGTTTAAATAAATAAATATGAAGCATAACATTATTAGATGATAAAATTTATTTGATTTTTCATGTAAATTGTGTATACTGGTAAGAAAATTAGTGTTATAATGTTTGTATTTGAATTCTCCTTAATAAATTAAAATGTAATAATAAAGTGTCAATAAACTGAAGCCTATTGGTAGAGCAACTAATCAATCTTTAAACTGTAGCATGTGGCTGTTACTAGACATTTGTAAATTTGAAAATAGTTCTCGAGTGATATTTTATCAGATAAAAACCACCTACTTGGTTTATACATTGCTCTACGCAAACAAAACTATAGAAAAATTTCTTCAATGCTAAATTGAACACACATACTTTGAAATAAAGATGTAGTGAAGGTTGTTGACCTATACTATACACCTTTCCTGTTGAACATGTCAAGCATTTTATTGACAAGTAAGAGGATTCTTCTTTTCTTCAACAAATTTTATTAAAAAAGTTTCTATTTACTTTTTATGTTTTCGATTGAGATCATGAACCGATTGATGTTAGACCACTATCGAAAACCTGGAAGCACTGGATGACCGTTTCGTCCTGTTATGAGACTCCTCAGTAGTGCACATACACGATCAGGCTAGCGAGATTCAAACCAAGGGCCTTCAGTCTCACGCGCGAACGCTTATCTCTAGACCACTGAGTCGGCATCCAGCAGTGTTAATATCCAACCTCAACCAATTCATGACATTGTGCGACCATCTTCCACTGTACTGAGGTAGATACCCGCGAGCGGGATCGAGGATGCGCACTGCTGAGGAGTCCGATACTAGGGTGAAACAGTCTCCCAATGCTTCAACATTTTCCATAGTGTTCTAGCTTCAATCGACCCATGGTCTCAACTATTAAAAAAAATACTATAATATCCACAAAACTACCTTCTGATATTAATCAGCATATGCTCTCTAGTGACTGGCGTCAAGAGGTATTTCCTGGAGTTCTAGTGAAAAGCAGTAACCAGTGTAGTTCAACCAGGTCTGTTGTTAGATTGTAAGTCACTAAAAACAATGGTGGATGTGTCGCTCAATTTGGTGGATTAGTTGAAGTTAGATAATGACACCATTGGCTGTCGGCTTAGTAGTCTAGAGGTTAAGTGTTCGCACGCGAGACTGATAGGTCCTGGATTCGAATGTCGCGAGTCGGGATTGTGGATGCGCATTGATGAGGTGTCCCACAATAGGACGAAACGACCGTCCATTACTTCTTGGTTTTCCATGGTGGTCAGCTTCAATGGACTCATTATCTCAACTTTTGAAATTACAAACATTTTATTTAGGAGTCAAAGTAGTCTATATTCTGAGCCTGAAATAAATGATCATGAATATAAAATTATGTCCATTTATATATTGTACTGGTTAGGTAAATGTAATAATATAAATAACCGATAGGAATAATCCGGTGTTGTACTGTATTTTTTATCTCCGCATCGATGTTTAGTACTGCAGTTGCTTATAACCGATAGGATTATTAGCACATTTAAACGACCGTCCATTACTTCTTGGTTTTCCATGGTTTTCTAGCTTTAATTGAGTCCAATTATTAAATTATTTTAGATTTTAAAACCTGTACCTTATTTATTACCTACAGATCAACGTATTTGAATTTAAACTGCACTGTTTCTATGTAAGCACATTACACAATCCAGTCGTCTAAACCAAACAAGGGTAGAGTGAATTTCTAACGTATATCTTATTAACTTAAAACTGTATTCCATATTTGTTGACCCATCTCTACACTTCTTTTGTTACTGCGAAAGAGTCACTCTCTTATTAATGCAAAACTATCGTTTCTCTTATTTTTTTAAAAGAAGGATTTATATCATTATATTTCCATTTATTTTATAAAATTAAACATTTAATCAGAACCAAATTAAAGCAAATCGTATATAATTAATTAGTTTAAACACTACTAACTACATAAGTAAGTACGTGATCATACGCATGTTGTTATCTTCTGAATAGTTGAATTTGCATAAAATTTAGTTATTTCAATTATCCCTAGTAATCCTCAAAGGTAAGCAAATAATATACAAAGTTTAGGCTTTTCATCGATATAATTATCAATGGATTTAAAATTATCACTGATTCATTCAATGTTATTTATTCCTACTAATTTTATGTAAATAACAGTCATGATAGAGAAGATTTGTAGCTCATGTGGATGATTTTGGTGTTTTGTTCTCTGAGCTGTATGGTTTGGTCGTGGAGCTTTCATAGTTCTTCTAAACGACATCACCAGCATAAACTTCAGGTAAAAGTCAGTTGTAGCATCAAAATCATCCACCTGAGCTACAAATCTCCATCTCAAAATCATATGAGGGTAGTGCCCTTCTGGTTCTTCGAAAGTGGAAGAATTTTGCCAAAAGACAGGCTTCCAATCGAGAGCAACGGTATTATCTCCAAGAGTGTCTTCGTCAGCACGTTATACTAACAAGTGTAAGATACAGACCTCCAACAAAGTGCCCATTGGGATAGAGAATAGCTGAGCAAAGTGGAAGAAAAATGGTACACCTAACGATAACGGATGCACAATACAGGATCCACAAATACCAAGACGTCACAGAGGACCAAAAAATAAAGCTACAAAGGATACTCACATCAGAACATTTGGAAATCTTGACAACAGCCATCAAAATATTATTCAAACGACACAGAGAACAAAGAAGAAACACCCTGAAGAAGAAACTAATCAAGATCTCAAAACCACCCATGGAAGAAAACACATGAAATTGCGTGATCAACCTGTCAAAACAACCACTAACAAAAATAGAAGAACACCTACTCCAAAAGGGATTAAACTACAATATAAGAGACGCCTCGAAACTGAAGTTCTTCAATTCATCAACATAAATATTTGTACGACGATCAAAATACACGATATTTTTTATGATTCATACTTGACAGTTGTTTTCTATATTGCTTCAATGTATATATATAACAATGAAAAATGTAAAAGCAGGCAATGTAATACTTAAGAGAATAAATATTACTTTTTCTAAATGTCAATCTTTCATTTTCGTAAATCACATTTTAAGATACTTTTTTTGATATAACTATAATAGTGTAAAAGTCTCGTAATTTTTTTAGCACATCTAACACAGGCCATCAAGCCTCCTACCCTTATCAAACTGATAGGTTTAAGAAAAATAACTTAAGTTGAAGGTTTTTCTTGGAATTGTGAAGTTTTATTCCAAAACTTTTATTGGTAACTATAACATTTTGTCTTTAATATGATACTTGTAACAATCCATTGGTAATTTCTGATGCTTTCAAGTTATTCTTTCGATATAAGTTTTAAACATTGATAGAAATATCATAGACAGCCTTTGATGCATACAACTAACCAATCAAAAAGTGGAAGAACATTAAATAGAACGAAAATACCAATTCTAATAATCAATGAAATCTAGCTAGTAGGATCTGATGTCTGGTATTTAAGAACAACAAAAATTCAATGTTTTAAGTTTCCAAGTTCATCAGATAAAACTTAGAAATAAGATCATTAAGACATACTTTACGGCTTGAAGGCAAAATGTAAAAGTTTGATGTGTTTAGTTTTCGGAAAGCTTGAAATACTGACGTCTTAATCAACTTCTTGATTAACAAGATCTTCGAGTATGCTACTTTAAATAAATACAAGACGAAGGACATTATGATGAGAACGGAATAGCAGACACGGGAGAGAAAATTTGTATTCGGAATTCTAACTGGTGAACTTAGGAATATCAATCAATCTTGGCAACATGACACATTACTTTAAAAATCATGCATAAAATGTAGATACAATAAAAATAAATTTCATGAGAGTCGATTCAATTATAGATATACGTGCATCTATTTGAGCAACCATGAGACGGATAGAAATACAATAATTTGTTGATATATTACATATTTTTCAAGCTGAAGATTCGTCAGTGTACCCAAAAATTTCCAGTATGGAGTTTATGGAGATTACTCAATTTCACTGAGATCAATAATCGATCAATTTTAGATTAGACTTGGAACCGAATGTCCTAGGTTCGAGTCCCCCTGCAGGATCGTGGATGCACAGTTCTGGAGAGTCTCATACTAAGACGAAACTGTCGTCCAGTGCTTTCAGTTTTTCAGTGATGGTCTAACACTGATCGGTTCATGATTACAATGATACTCAAAAATGTGTTATTAAATATAGCAAATTTCATTATCATTGCTATTACTACGTATTTTTGAATTAAGTTTTACATGTAGCTGGCCATTGATATATTCCACTTTCAAATAAAACTGCAAATAATGCATATTTTGGAAACCTGATATCAACCAATATACGTTGTCTGTATGCTATTCATAGATCGGTAAATGGTTGAAGTGGAACTATGTAGTTACATAGAAGAATAAATAAATCTTGTGTGGGTCACTTGGCTCTGTTAATTTTCAATAACTTATCTAACTGAATTTTTTTATGTGTTAATTATTAAATTAACTTCTATGAAATTTTTTATCTTTCCGTGAATAACGAAATTAATCAATTCATTTTGATGATCATCTAAAAGAGACAATGCAAAAAGTGATGCTGATAAAATCTCCTGAACTATGATAAAACATCTTTTCAGTGTTTTCTTGTTTTTTTTGGATATTCGCCAGGTAACGTTTGCTATAGACAAAAAGCTTTTCATGCAAAGATGGATAGTGGCTAACAGTGGAATCCAGGATGCGCGTTTAGTCCTATTTGGGACTTGTCATCTGGGTTTACCGGCATCTCGAGGTTGATGTTCACCCCAGGACTCGAACCTAGTACCGCTCGCCCCAACCGCCATAGAAAGATACAAGTACAACAACACCAAGTGAATTTAAAAAGCTTTCTAGATTAAAGGAAGTTTTCAGTATCATTTCTTTTCTAATTGACAGAAACAGAATGACAGGTAATATCTACATTTGGACAGTTCATGAAATCATCTATGAATAGGAAACAATACGATTTATCAACAGATATTAGAAAAATTGTTTAGTAATTTTAATTTAAAGGAATAATTATCTGCTTAGATTTATACAAATTTAACTGTCAATTTAATTATCATTTATATGATACCTTACATGAATAAGTTGTTGGAGGTCATAATAAGACTGCTAAATCCTTTTTAAACTGATTCGGCAGACAGAATCTCTACATAACTCATAAATCAACTATAATAGCCGTATGAATAACTACCCATCAAACGTATGCATGTTATGATAGTAAAAATATATGGTTAAAAGGGGTAGCAGGAACAAAAAAACCTTGCTGTTTCAAGTACAGATAACCATAAAAACAAGACAGATATTCACTTATTACAGCTGTCGTACATCTAAACTGTAACCACCTACAGAGCTCATCAAACATGCAATGGTCGATACGAGGTCGTAAAAATGTATACAGCTTTAGATGGCATTATTTAATTTTTTAAAGAACGATAAGCTCCCTAATCTAATTTCCACTATATGCATTTGCCAGTTCATTTACTCACGTGAAACAAAATACATAAGACGTAATCAAGACTTGCTTTGAACACAGTACAATTCTACAAGAATGAGAAAAAAGTTGTCAAAGGTTGTATCACTAAAACTTTGATCAAATAATCAATAAACTCGTTTTAATGTTGCTGATAGAATTCATCAAAATTCACTAAGGTTTCATAAAATTGAATCTCTTAAAACAACAGAAATTTCTACTATCTGCGAAATGAAGCCTGAACTTTGTGTACAAAATGTATGTTTTATTTCTCTTTTTACCTTGGCCTTTACTATTATCATTATTATAATAATTATTTTCGTTTCACTTACTTTGCATTTGAAAATATCCACCTCTTTCTAAGTATTCCTCATATCATTTCATTTAATCCCCCCTAATACTTTTAATCGTTTTGACAAGACTGTTTCAATTATCTTACCCCATTCATACTGTATTCCAATGTTAGCTTATTGAGTTAACGCTCATCCATTATTCACACATCCTGGATATGTTGTACTATATGACGTAATATTAAAATTGCTATGACGTCATTACGTTTATTCATAGTTAAGATTACCTCTTGAAACAAATCTTTAAGATTTCACAAAAATTAATGACAATATCGTTAAAAATTGACCATGAAATTCTTCTCTGATGTTACTATGGTAGTTATAAATCAGTTTTTAAAAATATCTTTATTCATTCTAAGCATTTTTGATACAATTTTCGATACGTTATGAGATATACCTAATAGCTGTTTAGACTCATTTATCATTTCCTTCCAACCTTCCAAAAACATTTACACATACAAACGTGATACTTCTGGATCGTATGACGTCATGAAAAATCTTTACTCTCTCATTTATCTCTTCCGAATACGACACTAATGATGTAATGCCTTAATTTGATGCTACGAGTTATTACTTGATCATATGAGAATCTTTTCTAGTTTCCTAATATATGGCTAAGATACTAAACATTCCAAAATATTTTCCCGTAACAAATTTATTAGTGTACAAGTTTCCATATAAAAGGTCAATTTTTAAAAAATAAAGATTCCTAAATATGAAAATTTGACTTCGTAAAACAAATACTTTCTAACCTTTGCAACAACATAATGATATGGTTCTCAAGTAATCTCACATATATTTACATACTGATGTTTTTTCCTTTATCGTTTCACTTGACCAAAATCTCTTACGTTTTTAGTAAAATTTCATAAAGATATATATATATATATATATATATATATATATATATATATATATATATATATATATATATATATATATATATATTGTTGCTTCTATATGGACAATTTACTATTTCCAAACTGTTTTATATTTTGAAAAAGTCATTTTCAGTCAAATAATTTCTGTCTTTTATGTCTCTGTTTCATATATATATATATATATATATATATATATATATATATATATATATATATATATATATATATATATATATATATATATACAGGAAATTTAACACGATTTATCATTCAACTAGTTTGTTGTTGAATACACAAACATGAGGGTTAGTTATTGGAGAATTTAATAATTAGTATTAGAAGCGGTTTTGTGAATATTATAGTAATTTTCAATAGTTGAGATCATGAGTCATTTGAAGCTAGACCACTGGACGGCCGTTTTGTCATATTGTGGGACTCCTCTACAGTGTGCATCCACGATCCCACCTCGCGAGATTCGAACACAGGACTGAAGACAATGGTGGATGTGTCGCTTAATTTCCTGGATTAGTTCAAGTTAGACATTAACATCATTGGATGCCAGCTCAGTGGTTTAGAGGTTAAGCGTTCGCGGATGTGCACTGCTGAGAAGTCCTACAATAGGATGAAACGGTCATCTGCGCTTTCCATGGTAGTCTAGCTTCAATTGGCTCATAATCTGAACTATTAAAATTTAATAATTCATTAAATAATACTTTAATATATTTATTCCAATGTCATATTTCTCTATGTCTATCAAAATTTAAATCTTTAGAAGTACAGAAAAAAATGATTACAACATTTTAACTGTATAACAAATTTATAAACTATTTATAAAAACAAACGTAACCCGAAACTTGGTTACGAGATATAGATCGAAATACTCACCATACATTAACAAAGACTTCACAGTTTCAAATGAGTTAAGTTAATCATTATTAAATCTCATATTTCTCAGTTAATAATTCATAGAATTGGTTAGAAACACTATTGTCTGTTCATTTAGACATTAACTTGAAGTAAAAGATTAGACTTGTTATCACAACTATTTTGTACTGTATTCAAACTAATTTCTAATTGGTCAATTCATTAGAGAACTTATGCACATTCAAAAATTACGTATTTTTCATGAAAACATTTGTGAAATATGACTGGTTAATAATATTCGGATCATTCGAAATTGAATTGTATAGAAAATCAAAGTTATTTAAAGAAGAGAAAAGTTTTTTTTTCATGAGGATTAGAGATAATGACCACAACATACATTCAACACACGAATAGTTAGTAATTGTCTGTACTTTTTTTTAAAAAAAAGCCATTTTGATCCTTATTGCCATTTATCAATTATTACCAAACTTCATATACTGAAAGTATGTGTGCTTGTATTTCTGAATATCGTACCATTGATTCATACTGTTTGTCACTAATCTATAAACAAATAGGGAAACATTCTTTACAAACGTTTCCATTACAAACATACAAAATATGTATACAATAAAGATTTGTAAGCCATTTTTGTATTGGAAAACGATAAAAAGTAAATAATTTTGTGACATTTTTTGATGATAAGAAATTTTATTGAATTAGTACGCATCTTTCTCTTTGGGCATCTGTATATAAATAAATATCACATTTAGTTGTAGAACCTCTTGTTTAACAGGCATAGAAACAGAAATTACCCTTTTGACGCCAATATTTTTACATTCGTAGTTTTTAGGAAACATTTGCTTTAAATGCTAAGGCAGAATTCTAGCTCAATTAGACACTAAAAAACAATGTTTATGCATAAATGAATATCACGAGCATATAAAAATGCATCGTGGTATCACCTTTTTAATGATATAATTCACCTAATTAGCTAGGTCTGTTACTTACCTTAGAATAGGTTGGAGAACAGAGACAAGCTGTCGATTATGTCCTTCGCTTCACTTTTCCGCGCTTCAATTGTGTTGCAGTGTATCCCCGCTCTCTTGAACAAAGTTTGTACGCAGTTGGTTTTGTGAGCTCTTGGTTTGTTGCTAGTGTAGGCTATTATTTGAGTACTCACTAACACTAGATACCCAACTAAACGACCAGTATCTTACAGGTTAAACAAAAACATGTCAAAAGCTTATTATCAGCCAGACCAACATGCAGATTATGACAATTTACAAGGCTATGAAGACAGATAACAAAACATAGCTATCTGTCTACATTCATTGGCTAATCAAAGCTCGTGACTAGACGTACATCATCTCACCAAAGTTTGTTTGTAGAATTTGGCGATTGGATTCAAATGGAAAAATCACGTTTGGTTTTATATTCTTACTGGCCTTCCTCTTTCTTCTAACTGAGATTCATTTCTTCCCACTTTACTTTGTGGTGGTGACATATCAAACTCTTCATATAATTTTTCTATAAACAATTGTTTGGTCTGTGCTAACTCACCACAATTTCCTCTACTCGGTAATCGATTTCTATGCTTAATAATTAATACATTTCCTACCATAAATTCTTATGGTGCTTAACCACCTCTTCCCGTTATGTATCCACTAAATCATTTCGGCCTTTCTAATTTGGATTCAGGTGTATGTACTAAATTTCCCACTTTGAATTAACAGATTTTTATAAGTCTATTTTTAATAGGTCTAGATGACTTACACATACTATCCATAGGATATAAAACGTCAAGAAACGTTAAGTATTATTTTAGCTAGTGGATATCCATCTTGGCTATTCGGGTTGGTGGTGGTTATTTACAACATAGAGAACTTCTATAATGCCGCTTCGACATTCACTTCTCCATCCACCTTTAAAAAGCCGTTTGATAGTGTCGCCTAATTTCTCCACATGCTCACTCAACTGTGGATCATATGGTAGAGTGAAGACATACTATATACCATCCTGACAACAAAACTTTGTAGACATCAATTATGTGTCACCATAGAGAACTAAAAGACTTGAGCGTACCGAACAACAAATGTGGGTGGCGTCTGTATGTCGAAAATCTCAGGCCACCTAAAATACGAATTTGTCACCACAAGGAATAGCTATTCTTACTGGCCCAGTATAATTGACATATAAACGATTCCAAAGTTCACTCGTTTTTGGCCAAGACTGGATCTCCACTTTATGTGTCTGTCTTTATGTGTCTACGCTTCATATTTAATTTGACTACATTTTTCCTCATCTAAGAAGTCTGTGTGTTTCAACTTTTAGAGACTCTTTAAGATATGTATGAAGAATCACTGGTCTAATGTCTTAATCAGAGTCATGTGCCGTTATAATGAGCTCAGGTTTTGGCCTTATTATGTAAGCAATAATTCAAATGCGATCTCTTTCATCTTGTTGATGGACTCGACATTTCTTAGACCAGTTCCATACAGCATTCTTAGTCAAAACTGAATTAAATAGAGCAAGAAAGTAATACACACTTCGAACGACACAGCCATAAAATTTGATCATTCTCAAAACTGTCTCGATATTAGATGGTTTTAGCATATATACAATTGCATTTTTAATGTTATAACGTGAAAAATGAATGCTGCTGATTGAGGGTAGCGAATTATTGATCGGACCAAAGACGCGCAAACACGTAGAACAACCTAGGGTTCTGATTGGTCTCGCTTCCCTGTCTAGCTCAGCCAATTGAGTCCAGAACACAAGTTTCAGCCTCGGATATATGAATCATTATATTTCAAACATACTTTGTTTATATACCAGTCAAGCAGACCACAACGTACCATAAAATAGAAAATAACATTGTACAATAATGGCCAGTAGGAAAATGACACGTTAAATAAATATTGACCAATAAGATGATACCATTTCATGTCCAAGGATAGCATTAGCCTTAACAGGATAATTTTTGGGATATTTTCCTGAATATCCCAACACCTCCCTTTTTTTGGAGATCCGGAGTTGATGTCCGGATTTTAAATTTTTTTCTGCGTCTATCCTCCCCCGCGAAATAATGTTGGGTCGTCATAAACCCAAGGAACAGTTAGTGTGACTCTAATTGAAGCATATTTCCCGCGCTGAGTAGAGAGTCCACTAGGACTGACTAGATGGTGAGGATCAGCGACAGTAGATCTGAGGTCATTAGGGTTTAAATCTTTAGTAAGTAGTGGATCATTATGATAATCGGTGTCCAACAAAACTGTACCAGGATCTTGGTTATTATTTGATGCGTGAAACACATTTTCTGGCAAAACAATGAGATCTCGTGAGCTGGATATGTTACTGTCTGCACATGATGTTTCGGGGTTGATGGGGTTTGACTCCATTACCGGGCATGTTTCTGAAATAGAAAGTACTGGACCACTGGGCGCATGATGGATGACTGTTTCGTTTGAAGTACAGTTCATCGAGGATTCATGGAGGCTGCTGTCATTTTCCAGCTCACTGTGTATTTCAGATATCAATCCATCCACTTCCGTCGCGTCTTCATAGCATGAGTGATTTAGCGGCTGCGTACGGAATTTGACTAATAACTCCAAATGTCGTTCATAGAGCAGCTGTAATCGATCGGAAGGAAGAGTCATTTTTTTCGAATCAGCACCTGTGATGAAAATTACTGTATGACTAATGACCAATGTCGTTGAAGGACACTGACGACAATCTGGATGCTGATTGGTTGGATAATTAGACTGGATTTCGTCCAATTACAGAATGACTTTGGATTGTATCTTTTCTTCACCCCGTCGCCAATTGTTATAACGTGAAAAATGAATGCTGCTGATTGAGGGTAGCGAATTATTGATCGGACCAAAGACGCGCAAACACGTAGAACAACCTAGGGTTCTGATTGGTCTCGCTTCCCTGTCTAACTCAGCCAATTGAGTCCAGAACACAAGTTTCAGCCTCGGATATATGAATCATTATATTTCAAACATACTTTGTTTATATACCAGTCAAGCAGACCACAACGTACCATAAAATAGAAAATAACATTGTACAATAATGGCCAGTAGGAAAATGACACGTTAAATAAATATTGACCAATAAGATGATACCATTTCATGTCCAAGGATAGCATTAGCCTTAACAGGATAATTTTTGGGATATTTTCCTGAATATCCCAACACCTCCCTTTTTTTGGAGATCCGGAGTTGATGTCCGGATTTTAAATTTTTTTCTGCGTCTATCCTCCCCCGCGAAATAATGTTGGGTCGTCATAAACCCAAGGAACAGTTAGTGTGACTCTAATTGAAGCATATTTCCCGCGCTGAGTAGAGAGTCCACTAGGACTGACTAGATGGTGAGGATCAGCGACAGTAGATCTGAGGTCATTAGGGTTTAAATCTTTAGTAAGTAGTGGATCATTATGATAATCGGTGTCCAACAAAACTGTACCAGGATCTTGGTTATTATTTGATGCGTGAAACACATTTTCTGGCAAAACAATGAGATCTCGTGAGCTGGATATGTTACTGTCTGCACATGATGTTTCGGGGTTGATGGGGTTTGACTCCATTACCGGGCATGTTTCTGAAATAGAAAGTACTGGACCACTGGGCGCATGATGGATGACTGTTTCGTTTGAAGTACAGTTCATCGAGGATTCATGGAGGCTGCTGTCATTTTCCAGCTCACTGTGTATTTCAGATATCAATCCATCCACTTCCGTCGCGTCTTCATAGCATGAGTGATTTAGCGGCTGCGTACGGAATTTGACTAATAACTCCAAATGTCGTTCATAGAGCAGCTGTAATCGATCGGAAGGAAGAGTCATTTTTTTCGAATCAGCACCTGTGATGAAAATTACTGTATGACTAATGACCAATGTCGTTGAAGGACACTGACGACAATCTGGATGCTGATTGGTTGGATAATTAGACTGGATTTCGTCCAATTACAGAATGACTTTGGATTGTATCTTTTCTTCACCCCGTCGCCAATTGTTATAACGTGAAAAATGAATGCTGCTGATTGAGGGTAGCGAATTATTGATCGGACCAAAGACGCGCAAACACGTAGAACAACCTAGGGTTCTGATTGGTCTCGCTTCCCTGTCTAGCTCAGCCAATTGAGTCCAGAACA